GGAAAGGGTTCATAAAGGGCTGAAAATGTCTGTGAGAGAGCCCTCAAACACTTGACGATTTGACAGTGGGACAGAACTAAACCCTCACGGACTTCGCGGGAGCGCGCCACAAAGTCCGTGAGTCCGTAAGGGGGGACATTGGGATTGGGCCAGTCTCTCACACTCAACCACTTACCAGGTGACGTCAGTAAGTCCTTAAGGGTTCAGGGTTTGAGGCTTTAGGGAGGACATTGGGATTGAGCCTTAGACAAAAACTCAGTGTCCTCTGCTTTTCACCGACAACCGTGTCTTCTTCCATTCAAATCCTCCTCACTCTGGTTCGGAACTTTACTTTGTGTAGTTCTCGGTGCTCCTTCACGCCGTGTGCTCTCTCCTCCTCTCCTCTCCTCCTGCAGCCCTTAAGTCCAGCCTCAATCAGGTGGCTTAAGGGTTAGTGGTGAGTGGTGAGGCCTTCTGGGAGCTGTAGTTGTTGCCTCGGCGGCCATCTTGTGGTGTGGCTGCCGATCCTTAAAGGGGAAGTAGCACCCATCTACCGCCTGACCCCGGGTGATGCCACAACAGGTACAGGTAGTACAGGTACAGGTAATACAGGTAGTACAGGTAATACAGGTACAGGTACAGGTAGTACAGTTACAGGTAATACAGGTACAGGTAAAGGTAATACAGGTACAGCTACAGGTAATACAGGTACAGGTAATACGGTAACAAGCATCACATAGCTGTCTGAGACACTTGTTCAGATACTTCATTCATCTTATAATTAATTCAGTTAATTTTAATTCAGGGGCTGATAAAGTGACAGTGACAGGTCAATGCAAACAATAATGTACCATATTATTATATATTATTTTAATATTCATAGCCTGGTGTACTCTGTCACTTAACAAACCATTTGTCTCCTAATGCTCTTGTATAGTTTGTATTTTTATTCTGTTCTTATTTAGTTAATATACTTCTTATTTCTTATACTTATATGTATTTAGTTCTGTCTTTGTCCCCGCTGGGATCACTTGAGGATTATCTTGTGTTATCTAAGTTCCAAACAGGGATGAGTTGATGGCAGTAACCGTGATGTCACTTCCTGTCCCGTACAGATGGGTGGAGCTCTCAGGTGTTGTTTTCAGACTCGTGCGTCGTGAACCAGCTGCCTGTGATTTTTGCAGCACGCCTCCAAGATCCTCCAAGTCCAGACGGGGATCTGGTGAGACTTTGGTTTTAACACCCTGGAGGACTGACTCTTCTTCTATTGATCGAGCATTTTTAGTAGTTGGCCTTAAACTGTAAAACAATCAGCCAATAAAAATAAGATCTTCTCCCTCCAGTGATTCCTTTAATCTCCGTCTTAAGACCCACCTCTTTCCTTTAGCCTCTCAATTATCATGGTAAAGACAAGCTTAGCTTTATTTGTTGTGATTTATTCAGTTGTTGGATTCAATATTCTATGCTTTTACTAATTTCCTTATATTGTCTTCTTTATATCTGTGTTTTTATATCCTTTCTTTGTAAAGCACTTTAAATAAGCTTGACTTCTGTTGCAGCTGTTCCCAGATCTGCAGCTGACTGAGGAGGAACAGAAGCTGCTGACACAGGAAGGAGTTTCTCTTCCCAACAGCCATCCTCTCACCAAGGTCACACTGCTGAAAGACACTTCAGATTCAATTCATTCATTTTGTACAGCCCAAAATCACAAATCACAAATTTGATTGATTCAAATTATAGGTTATATAGCTTCCTAGAGCTGTGATTCAGGTTATAGAGCTGCTGCATACAGCTGTGATTCAGGTTATAGAGCTGCTTCATACAGCTGTGATTCAGGTTATAGAGCTGCTTCATACAGCTTTGATTCAGGTTATAGAGCTGCTTCATACAGCTGTGATTCAGGTTATAGAGCTGTTTCATACAGCTTTGATTCAGGTTATAGAGCTGCTTCATACAGCTGTGATTCAGGTTATAGAGCTGTTTCATACAGCTTTGATTCAGGTTATAGAGCTGCTTCATACAGCTAGGATTCAGGTTATAGAGCTGTTTACCGCTGTTCAGAGGAAAAAAGGTTTTGAAGCCGGAATGGACTCTTGCAGCTATTTGGTAATTTTATTTTTTCTTAACTTGCAGTACTTGTTTATTTGTCTTTTCTATCACAATGATAATTGTGACTGTTATGTACCAAAACACAAACCCATATTCCTTGTATGAGAAAACTTCTTGGCAAGAAACCCGATTTCAGATTTATATTTTCTTGGCGTGACTTACCACCAACCAATCAGGAAGTCAAAGTGATGACGGGATAATTAGTCGTGAAATTAATGATGTTGATTTTTGATTAATCTTTACTTTTAGGCTGAGGAAAGAATCCTGAAAAGAGTTCGGAGAAAAATCCGCAACAAGCAGTCGGCTCAGGACAGCCGGAGGAGGAGGAAGGAGTACATCGACGGGCTGGAAAGCAGGTCTCACCTTAGACCATTAATCAATTAGGCATCATATAGAAAATCAATCCAAAATTAAAGCTGCGAGCAGCGATGAACGGGCCCTCGCACCTTCCCGCGTCTCGGGGGTACTGGCGGGACGCCGGCAGAAGCGGCCATAAATATCTGCTACCATCAGATTCCATCAGCTTGGACTGTGTGACACTGGAAATTATGTAGTGCAAATATTCCAGCAGTTCCTGTATCCACTGTGGCACTAGAGAACATGCGCAAACATGCATTGTGTTGCTCTACATCAAGTATAGACCACATCATGTAAATGTCATATAAATCGGATTCAGTTTGTCACATAACGCTGTCTTGCTGTTGCCAGTAGGTGGCGCTATGACTTTGAGTGAAAATGGGCTTGTAGACATCCTCAGGCCATGACTGTTATCAAACATGGCAAGTTTGGGACATATTTGAGCAAGTCCAGTGGAGTTACATCAGCTTGTTGTTTAATGGCAAATCACGTACAATGGCCGCCACGCCACGGCTACACCATTCCATCAAACGTAAAGCTTTGAGTAACTTTTAATTGCAAAGGTCTTTAGATTATACTAACCAAATTTGAAAAGGATCTGACAAAGTCCCTAGGAGGAGTTCGTTAAAGTATAGTGACTAGACATCATGAAATGGCTGACTTCCTGTTCATTTTAGAGCATGGTCCCAAGACACTTTTTTTTAAGTCTTCATGTGATACATGTGCCTACCAAATTTCATACATGTAGGTCAAACGTAGCGCTGGGGCTGCGTTTTTGAAAATTTGTAGGGGGCGTTATCGAGGCAATTTGAAAGGGTCAAGCCAAAAAGCCATATGAAATATATATTTCCATCACCTATGACACCTGTGCAAAGTTCCAAGGCTTGTTGAGCATCCTAAGTCACAGAAAAATAAGCTTCATTTTTCATGGCGAATGACGCGTTGCCACGGCAACAGCGTTTAATGACAACAGCGTTTAACGACAACAGCGTTTAACGACAACTCACAATATTCATGATGAAGCATTATCAATGTCTTACGGCTTAGCTTACCAAATTTGAGACTGATCTGGGCAATTTCCTAGTCGGAGTACATCAAAGTATAAAACTTGTCATTTCCTTTTGCCAGTAGGTGGCGCTATGACTTTGTGAAAATGTTGCCATGGAAATGTGCTCAGGCCTGGATCAGCATCATGCATCACAATTTTGGGGCAGATTGAATAAAGTACCTTGGAGTTACAACAACTTCCTCTTTCATGGCGAACAGCACGAAATGTGCGTGACATGGGCGCCACATAAAACGAAGGTCGTTCAATGTCAGTAGACCATTTTAGTAACTTTTCATCATTAATGTCTTTAGATCATCTTGACCAAATTTGAAGTTGATCGTATAAATTCTGTGGGAGGAGTTCGTTAAAGTACAATGCCTGAAAACGATGAAAAATGCCTAAAAATGCAAAGAAATGGGAGTATTACTGCATCGCCCCCTAGTGGTTGTATGGAATGAAAATTTGAGGGCATGTTACAGGACACAATGTGAACATATGCTACAGATTTCGTGAGGATAGGCCACATGGTTTTGAAGTTATATATATTGCTGTAGAAGGCCACGCCCCTATGAAATTCATTGGTCCATATATTCTTAATGCAATAAGATATCAACAAGATTTTCATAACTTTTGATGATATATATCCAATAATGATTCACAACAAATTTGGTACCAATCAGACCCAGGGTCTAGGAGAAGTGAATTTTTTTAGTTTTTTTACAAAATTCAAAATGGCGGAAAATTTTGGTAGGCGGAGCTTAGGGTCCCAAGAGCATTTTTTGTAGAAATCATTCAGTTGCTCATGACCGTAAAATTTTAAGTCATTTGGACATACGGGCTGTCGGGGCTTGCATCATATTATTTTAAAAATAATAATAATAATAATTCAATAGGGACCTCGCGGCCCGACGTTGTCGGTGCTCGGGCCCTAATAATTCCTACAGTTTCAATAGGGACCTCGCGGCCCGACGTCGGTGCTCGGGCCCTAACTATTAAGATAATCACTGTATCATCGTTAGTGGGACAAAACATGAGATTAACACGTCATTTTATGCTATTTTATAGACTAAACAATGTATCAATATATCGATCAAATGAATTAATCATGAAAATAGTCTTCAGTTGCAAATTTATCTCACATCTCTGTGTGTGTGTGTGTCTGTGTGTGTTAACAGGGCAGTATCTTGCTCAACACAAAACAAGGAGCTTCAGAGGACAGTGGAGCAGCTGGAAAAACGCAACATGTACGACCACATTTGTTATTGATTATTGACTGTTTACTGATCGATGAATGAATCTGGATCCATAAAAGGAACCGATGAGTCGCATTTATTAAAGGATTTACGACGAGTCTTTTTGTGAGCCCCTCTGTGCTGTGTCAGTGTTTTTAGACAGTCAGACCCATCGAACGTGTTTAGCAGAGGGCTCTGTTTTCTTCTTCTTGTTCTTTCTGTTGTCTTGTTCTTTCTGATGTATTCTTGTTCTATATGATGTCTTCTTCTTGTTCTTTCTGATGTCTTGTTCTTCTTGTTCTTTCTGTCTTCTTCTTCTTTCTGTCTTCTTCTTTCTGTTGTCTTTTTGTTCTGTTTTCTTTTTGTTCTTTCTGTTGTCTTCTTGTTCTTTTTCTTTCTGTTGTCTTCTTGTTCTTTTTCCAGATTACTGTGTTTATTATTGAGATTACTGTGTTTATTACTCAGATTACTGTGTTTATTATTGAGATTACTGTGTTTATTACTCAGATTACTGCTAAAAGTAATGAGATGATTAAAGTGTGTTCTTTCTGTTCAGGTCTCTGCTGACTCAGATGGGACGGCTTCAGTCTCTGATCAAACAGACGGTCAGTAAAGGAGCTCAGACCAGCACCTGCTTACTGGTAGGGTGTGTGTATGTGTGTGTGTGTGTGTGTGTGTGTGTGTGTGCGTGAGGGTGTGTGTGCAGGTGCATGAGGGTGTGTGCAGGTGCGTGAGGGTGTGTGCAGGTGCGTGAGGGTGTGTGCAGGTGCGTGAGAGTGTGTGTGCAGGTGCGTGAGAGTGTGTGTGCTCATTATGTTTCGGTGTCATTAAGATGTAATTGATTGTGGTTCAAGTTCTCATGTTTTGTTTACAATAGTAAAATGTTTTCTCTCAGCTAAACATACAGAAGTGTTTTGTGTCGTGACAGAATAAAATCAGAATAAAACCAGGAAAAACCAAACCGGATCTCAAATTCACTTCTAAAAAGAGATTTTCAGTAATAAGAAAAAGTGAATCAATAATTTCTAATTTTGTATAAATCTTGAGCCAGTTTCAACTGTAAATACATAATATTTCATGTCCATATTCTAAAGAGATGAATCGTGTGTGTGTGTGTGTGTGTGTGTGTGTCCTCAGCTCGTCCTGGTGTCTCTGGGTCTCATCATCTTGCCGAGTTTCAGTCCGTTCAGCCGAAACTCTTCTCCAGACGACGACTACAGACCCTCAGGAGGTCAGTAACTTTCTGTTTAGATTGTATTTAATCCAGACTACTCTCAATCAAGACATTTTAGAAAGAAGTTAAACTGAAAAACATTCTGATCAAATAAGGAAGTAAAACTGTTCATGTTCCATTTTGTATTCATTGAATTTGTTTTTTTTCTCCTCACTGCAATTTATTCTAATTAACTGTTTGTATAAAGGGTTAAAAAAATACAGGAAAATATTATTATAAGAAATCATTATTCACCTTTTCACTTGTTTATCATTTAATAATAATAATTAAATTGATTTATATTGCACGTATCAAAATCAGAGATCAAAAAGTACTTTGCTAAGTACAAGCTAAAGAGAAAAAGAAAAAACACACATACAAACCATAATAAATAAGATGAGGTCATACTTCCAGTAAACCTACAAACCTTCATTTGAAGTGTTGTGATTCATTTATTATAACGGATATAAAATACCGTCGGAGCTTAAAGTACTGCGTACTAATACTCACCGGTACGCAGTAGTACACAGTATTACACAGTAGTGCACACTTCTACATTTTTCTTTTTTTGCCTCATAAGCTGTAAAAACATGAAAACAATGTCGATATCATCTGGACGAGTGATGGGAGGACGCTACAATTCATAGATACAATATTCACGTTCTTTTTGTAAAATAATTAGAAAGCAGTTAAATTTGTGAACAAATAAAATGAATGGAATATTATTTAAAAAGTTTGTGATTCTGCCTTTTTGATTTACAGAATATGATTGAACATTTCCATAACAATTCTATGTTCAGATGAAGGCTGTGATGTGTGTGTTATCTATAGGAATGACAATAGAATGATGTATATATTAGTGTTGGGCAACGATTACAATTTTTAATCGCGATTAATGGCATTGTTGTGCGCAAAGTTCAATAATGAATTCAAAAGTAGTGTATTGTGCACTTTTATTTTGAAAGTACTGCTATATGAACAAAGGTCAATAACATTTGATGTAAACACTTTAAACACATCAGGTTGTTGTTAGCAGCAGTGTTCTCTTCACACAGCAGCAGTTCTATCTCTTCACTATCTGTGCTCAGTGTGTGACTGTGTGTGAAACGTTCCACTGCTGTGCAACAGGAATAACATGTTTCAGCACGTTTCATCTACATGTGTGTGTTGTGTCTTCATGACAGTCAGAGCATGTGATGCAGCTCTACTCTTCATCACTATGATGCTGTAACTCAGAGGTGAAGATGGTGACCCAGCGATCAAAGAATAAAGACACTTTACCCACAATTTAGGTGTATTTTCCCTTTAACTCACGAGATGCAGCATGTTTTATACTTAATGTGAATATAATTCATACTTTGTTGGCATCTTATTCTGAAAACCGGATGTGCGTCTAAAGAAACCGGATGTTGTCTCACGTTAATCTTTCCGCTAACTTTCTTAGCTCATTCTTGAGGCTCATACGTGACGTCATTCGTTGTGATCCTAAAGGTGTGTTCACACCAAACACGACATGAACGCACCTTGAAAACGTTCCTCATATATATACGTTCCTCATATAT